CTTCTGCCTTCGGGCAGTCAGCTGGCTCCCTAGGCCTGCTGGCTCCGCGGCCTGACTGCAGGGGGCGCTGCGCCTCCTCCCGCCCGGGACTGCATTTCCCAGCATGCAGCGGGCTCCGGGCTCTGTCTATAAGTAAAAGCGGAAACAAAAGAGCCAGCGAGTGAGAGCCAAGCGGATCCGGCCTCGGCCCCTGACGCCCTGCGAGAGCCCGGCCCCCGCCCGGAGCGACTGCGCGCACCCAGCCGGGGAGCAGCCGGGTCCCCGGGGGGAGCGCGGCCGGGGGAGGCCGCTGAGGAAGGAGCTGTGCGGCCGGGGGGCTCGGGAGCGGCCGGGGGAGAGGAGACGTGCAGGCAGAGGGGCGCTGGGGGAAGGGAGGCCCCACTAGAAGGGAAGCTGATGGCAGGGGAGAGGGGGATTGCAGGGGAAGAGAGGCTCAATGGGCAGCGAGAACTTTGTGGTGCCGGTGTCGGAGGGTAGAGCAGTGGGTGTGAAATCTTGGCTGTGTTTCTCCTCCTCGGAGTAATGAGGTTCTCGTGTCTTTGCTCATACCAATGGGGATATTGATGGTTTGTTGCTTCTGGGAGACTGTTCTTTGTTCCTCTTACCCCGTGGAAAAGGAGTGCCAGTCTGTGGGTTGGAGGAGGATTGCCTGTAGAACCCTGTCGGAATGGTGCTGTGCAGCTGCATAACAGTCTGGATAAAGTATAACCTTGTGCATACACTAACCTTCACAAGGCCCAAGTGAGACCCCGTGGAAAAGGAGTGCCAGTCTGTGGGTTGGAGGAGGATTGCCTGTAGAACCCTGTCGGAATGGTGCTGTGCAGCTGCATAACAGTCTGGATAAAGTATAACCTTGTGCATACACTAACCTTCACAAGGCCCAAGTGAGGTGGGCAGAGTTGCAGTTACCTTACAGTGGGAGAAACTGAGGCACCAAGAGGAGGCTTGCCTATACTAGGGATGTTAAAAAGAAGGTAATTGGATAAACATTTAACAGCTGAAAATCTCAGCAGTTACTGCAGTTGCAAGTAACCGTGTATGGGGCATGCACTGGCTCTTGCCTGCCACTCAGCTCCTTGGGGAGCCAGCTACCACCTTGTATTGCTGCCTCTGATACTGACATCTGCCTTCAGTACTACACAGTATTCCTCTTGTATTGGCTAGCGACTAGAAAGTATAACCATGTAAACAGTTAACCAATAAGCCTGGACTCATTGGTTAATATTCACGGTTACATGTGGGTTCCCATCCCACTCCTGGGGAGTCAGGTGGTTCCTTGGGAGGTGGTGTGCACTGGGAGTAGGCTTTTAAGAGGCAGCAGCTGGCTCTCTGGGGTTGTATCTAGACTAAATAGCTCCGTTGATGAAGCCATGTGAAGTAGTTTACTCGATATAGTCAATGAAGCAGGGATTTAAATAATCCCCGCGTCATTAAAATAAAAATGGCCACCACGCTGTGCTGACAATCAGCTGATCCGGCACAACATGGCAGTCTAGACATGGCGCGGTGGACAAGGGAAGCCTTTGTTGATTGCTCTGGTATGCCTCGTTTCACTTTATCACCGCGCGGTGGCCATTTTTATTTTAATGACGCGGGGATTATTTAAATCCCTGCTTCATTGACTATTGAGTAAACTACTTTACATGGCTTTGTCGATGGAGCTATGTAGTCTAGACACACCCTGGGAGTGGGGCTGTGGATGGGATCCAGCAGCTGCCTCTGCACTGCTGCCTCTTAAAAGCCGACTCGCAAGAAAGCAGTTGGCTCCCCAGGAGCAGGATGGGAGCCTGCATGTAACAGCGACAGAGTCCTGTAGCGCTTTAAAGACTAATAGATGTATTGGAGCATAAGCTTTTGTGGGCAAAGACCCACTTTGTTATGTAACAGTGAATGTTAACCAATGAGCCCAGGTTTATCAGTTAACCATTTACACGGTTATATTTTCACATCCTAGGCTATATAAGGGAAATACTGTGTGATACTGACAGCAAGTGTCAACAATAGAAATAAAACTAGACTGATGCTGAATGTAGTTGAGTTGATATGTAATCAAAGAAAAACTGTGTTCAATGCCACTTCCAAAACTGCATTAATTCTGGTCTGGCCAGTTATTGGTAGGTTCCATAGCAGATCAGTGGAGGAGCTGAGATTAGAATTTGAGAGTTCATGTTTCTCAACACTTAACCGCCAGAAGATCATGTTGCTTCTCAACGGGATCAGTGTTTTGTGTTAATGTCAGAGAGACTTTGGTTTAATTCATCTTGTTCCCCTGATTGCTAACAATTGCTCTCCTAAATCTGTTTGCTTTTCTATCGCATTGGGTCTGCTCAGTAAAGCAGATTGTATTTTACTTTAGTTGATCATTTCCTCCCTAATGTTGCATACTTTGTCCAAGGGCTGGTAGTCGAAGTAAGGGCCTATCTTATGTAGCTTGTGTCCAGGTTACAGTTATGACAGTAGCACAGTTTACCGTGCATTGCTTTGTTGTGTAGCATTGTAGTGTAGATGCTTCTTAGAGCAATGGAAGGGTTTTTTTCCATCAATGTAAGATCTCCAACTCTCTTGAGTGACAGAATTTTTCACACCTGTGAGCACTACAGTTATATTGACCTAACTTTTAAGCATAGACCAGAACTTTGATTGTCTTGCCCCCAAAGATTTTACAGTCTTTTTTGATTATGCTCCTTTGTACAGTGCCTTTCACAATGGGGTCCTGGTCCATGACTGAGACTCCTAGGCAATTTGATAATACAAATTATAATAATGAATAATACACCATTTACATGCCACCTTAGGTCTGAAACTGTTGCAATGGAAATGCATCTGCTACTAACACAGATGTTCCTAATTATCAGTTAGGGTGGGGATATGAGAGTTTAACTGATAAGCATCAGTGTGTCAATTCCTGTTAACAGTTGAATTCTGGGAGGGATCTGCAAGGCCAGCGGCCCATAGCCTGGGAGTCTTCCCTCCCTATCCTTACATTCCTAGATAACCCATTTAACCGTGTAATCAATAGACTTCTGATTGGTTACATGTTTACTAATTTTATACATTTTTACATCTCAAATTCAGGGTATCTTGTTGTGATCTTCCTGCAGAGCATGTTTCTCTCTGGCAACTTTATCACTTGAAAGGTACAACCTGGACATCTGATAGGAATTCTGTACCTAGAAAAGATGGGTTAAGGCATGATTTTTATGTCAGCAAAATAAGCAAAAATGTATGGTATTTTTGGTTTGTTTAAGGGGAAGGAGTTGCAGGAGGAAAACCCTTTCAGTTTTCCTAGCTTTAGGCCCTGACAATCAAGGAAATGGGATGTGTGTAGATATCTGAATCTTTAATTTGTCATTAATATCAGAGATTGATCAAACTTACTGTTGACATATCTGTCATCTTGAGCGTAAGACTGTACTTCTATGAGTAGGACTCCATGTTTGTCCCGAGGTTGTGGAAGACATGCATGAATTCTGCAGCGGTCAGTGTAACGGACAGCCACTGCTGCTGGAGCGGGTTGGCGTCCAGCAGCTGGAGTTACCTCAGGGAGTGCCAGAGCATTGATTTTGGGGGTGCCTAAAGTAGCTGCTGGTCCCCTGGAACTTCCTCCATGACAGTGGCCAGAGCAGCTCTGGGCCATCTGGAGTATCCTCCACAACTGGTGGTACAGGCATCCCACTCCACAACAGTACTCCTCACAAAGGTTTGAGTGGTATTTATGGTATAAGTCATGGCCTATAACTTTTTTCTTGTCCACAACCTGTCTGATTTTTACTAAAAATATCTGTGATTAAATTGTAGCCTTTGTTATGAGCCACTAGGGTCAAAGGTAAAGTATGAAGTACAAGTATCAGACTTAATGGTGATGCAGAAACATTAGACATTTGTTATTTAGAATTGTAATGTTTTGAGAACCTACTAACTAATACTGGTCTTATGTCAGATAATGTCCTGTCCTATCCTATCCTATCCACAGTTAGAAACATGATCAGCCCATCTATTTGACCCTTGAACATATCACTAAATGAGTTTGTAAATGGCATCTGTAAATGTCAAGGATTAAATGACGGAACTTCTTAAAACAAAAAACTACCAAAACACCTTTCTTTTCAAATAGTACTTGCCCTATCAGAATCCTTGCAACAAAAGATAGATGTCCATTATGAAAACTAAGAAACATGGGAGACCAAGGAATATTTATATGGATAGCTTATGTAAAGTTCTAAAACTAATATGTACTTCATCTTGTTGTTGATGCCATGTAATGAGTGTGTTTTTATCTAACACACACTTTTGCTCTTTTTACACAAATTGCTTGATTTCTACATTACAGTTGATAGTGGAAATGGAGGTTGGTTATTCAGCAATAACCAGTTCACATGTAGTTAGTGAAAATATTACTTCAATTGTACCAATTGCTGAACAAATTGCTGAAGAAATTAAAGCAGAGATTGGGATCTGGGAGATAGAAGTTCTGTTTTGTTTGGAGATCTAAATCTATTCTGCCACATACTGTTTTTTGTGATGTTGAGAAAGTAACTTAATTCTATCAGTCCCTGTCTGTAAAATGACAACAGTTCCTGCCTATCTCACATAGGTTTCAAGTTGGTTTCAAGATTCACTTGAATGTTGGCTTAGAGCTTTGAGGTCCTTGGACAAAAGGCATATTTCAGGTTTTTTTGGTATTGCTATAGTACCTTGTTTTTACCAGTTGCTATCTTAATTACAAATTGGGACTGCTTTGATGACAAATAGCCAGGGTGCAAGTGGGAATGTCAGAATTGTTATCTTGGATCATTTAGTTCAGCATCCTGTCTCCAACAGTGGCCAGAACCAGATGCATCAGAAGAAGGTGCAGGAACGAGCAGTGGGCAGGTCAGGAATAATTTGACCCCTACACTCTCCTCTCCTTGTTTAGATCTCATCCTGATATCTCATATATGGAGACTGACTTAAACCCTGAAGGATGAATCTTAATAACCCTCCCCAAATCATCATCAATCATGGTAACTCTGGTTAGTCTAATTGTCCAAACAAATTTCCATTCCCTTTTTGAATCTTGCTGAATTTTTGGCTTGACTTTCTGTGGCAATGTTGTTCTAAATGCATTACCATTAGTCTAAATATTTCCTTGTGTTGGTTTTGAATTTGCCATGTTTTGATTTGTCAATATCCACTTGTTCTGTTATAAACCAAGAAGAACAGACACCGAGGCAATTTACTATGTCATTCTTTCTTATATATTTTTACCACATCTCCTTTCTAAGATAGTCACAATCTTCACCCATCTTTTTTCCCCCATACATGAGTTTTGCCAGGCCTTTTCTGAACCCTTTCTAATTCTACACTATTGCTTTGTGATAGGTAGAACAGTGCTGCATGTAGTAATCCAAATGTGAGGGCAGCACCATAGATTTTTATAAAAAGACGTTACATTTTCTGTATTGTTCTGCATCATATTTCTCATGTATTCATCTTTTTTCCAAATCTTCCTTGTTTTGGAGTGAACTAGTGTATAGTCAGAATATTTTGAGAAGCATCAGTTATATGCTTGAATGACTTGTGAATAAATGTTCACTCTAAGAAAACTTGTGCTGTCTATCTTATTAGTAATTTCTAAAGCAGGGAGATAGGAAGCAGTTGGTTTAGATTGTACAAGACTATTTTAACTACCCAATTGTTTGTTTTTAATCTGAAATAACTGAAGAAATGGTAAAGGAGGAATGTGACCAGGTGGACTAGGCTCAGAGGCTCGCTGCTGGAGACCACAAAGTCCTGCCATGCTCGACCCAGGTAAGGAGCAGGGGAGAGGTCATCTGAGCAGGCTAGAGTGGCTGCAGGGGAAGAAACCAATTAGGGCCTTCTCCTATAAAAAGATGTAGTTCAGTTCCTTGCTGGAGTTAGAGGCGCTCCTGGCTAACAAAGGGAACTGTAACACAATGAATAGCTCAGTGTTAATAAAGACTAGGGGAGCAAGGAAATGTGTCAGGCTGGCTACTGGGCCTGCACTTAGAGCCCTGAGTTAAGGGTAGGAATTGGTGAAGGCTGGGGCCATAGAGAAGAGGCTCAGGAAACTGAAGGTAGGTTCCCCCCGCCCCTCCCAAAGGGATGTTGACATGTGACTGCTATTAAGATTCCTGGGCTGGGGCCCAGAGTAATGGGTAGGCCCTGTCCCTCTCTCTTTCTCCCAAAAGGCCACTGGGGGTGGGGGAAAGCCTAAAACTGGACATCAGTTCAGTCCCCTTCTGGGGGTTTACTGTCAGGTGGCCTAGCTGAAGACTGGGGTCAAACCAAACTAAGAGGGCAAAACCATTGCCTTCTTGGAGAAAGTCCTGGAGGTAGTATCCGATGGCAGGGCTGTGACTGGTTTAAAGGTTGCAGACACACCCAGCGAGAGGAGATTCTCATAAAGAAGAGTGAAAACCACATCACAAATAGATACAGAAGGGCAGCTGAAGTTGATAGGTCTAAATTAAACACTTTTCTTCTATCTTGTGAAGTGAAGATGGTGGCTTTCTCAGATCTTCTCCCTCCCCTCCTTTTCTGCTAACACCTCACCCCTGGACATTTTTTTTCAAGGGTGTGTATTTTGTCATCAGCCAACTTAATGAATGGCACTACAATAACAAACTAGCATGGCGTGGATGAGAGAGATGGGTCATTAAGGAAAATCAGTTAAAATGAAATACACTGACACATTATCTCCTTAAATGATGTTCAGTTTTCCAACATGATTATGAAAGCTAAAAAAGACTAACTCTATATGGTCTCTTAGAAAATTTAGTTTTCAGTTGGTATGTTTAGTCCACCTGAGAATATAACACAGAACTCAGTGACTTTTCAGGTTTACTGTAGATATTGGTTCTTATATTGTGGGGCCTCAAGTCTATATTCAAGTTAAGTATATAGAAGACACTGAACAGAGAGAAGTCAGTGAGGTCTTTATAGCTTCAGCAAGCACCTGAAGGAATTCTTGGAAGAATAAAGGGCTGGTAAACAACTCATGGAAGTCACTTTTAAAATTCATGTCAATCTAGACATATTGTCTCTGGCAAAGCTTGAGTATTCTTATGAGAGCTAGAAATTATCTGTCTTAAAAATAGCTATAGAACTTGGTAATTCATTGAACTGAAGTGTCTGCTTAGAATAATAGTTCTACGAATATACATGTTAAAAGGTGGCAGTACCTACTAAGGAAATAGAGCTGTAATACACATTGAACATTTTCTTATTTTGGTAGTATTGGTTGGTAGGATCTTATTAGTATCAGCATCATATTTTCTGCTGTATCATAACTTTTTCTCAGCAATCTATCCTGTAGGTGTGGTTTCCTGGCCAGGCGCTTTTCAGAGATGGACAGCACACAGGCTTCTAGAGCAAACTAATACCTGAAAAGAGGTATTCTACTCTATGGGGGAGGTATAGACTAAACTTCACCAGGTGCTCCCAACTCTGTGACAAACCTATATTGAGTCCTTCAGATTTCCCTCTCTACGCTCCAGTGTATATTTTCATCTGCCTTACAATAATGGCCCTCCCCTTTGACTGCCTCTGGTCAGCCATCTTCTTTGTCATTGGACACAAGGGAGTTGATAGATTTGTGTAATCAAAATAATAAATTTTGACTACACAATGATTGATCCACAATGAAAGCTCCTTGAGGCAGGAACGATAACACAAATAAGAGATATGTGCAGGACAAAGTACATAGCATTAAGTAAATAAAATATATACAAAAATTCACTTCTGACACTCTAGATTCTAATCTCTAATTACTGTGCATTATGAAAGCAATATGCTACGCTGTAGACTAGACTTGAGAGGTCTGCAGATTAGTCTTTGAAAATTGGTGCGAGAACAACTGTTTGGTGCTAAATATGAATGTATAGGTTCTAAGCTCTTACTGTATCAATTAGGTAGTTCAGTGAATTTGTTCATATGGCTCTTTTGTGGAAAGCTGTTGTCTCATGGTTGATGCTCATAATCCTTCATTTTCATCTGTTTGTGGACTTTGGTTTTCATATGTATTATAGGGTTAATATTGAGAAGACTCTTTAAGCGACTATTTTCCCAGGACCTTACCTCTAGTGATCAAGGAGAAATGGAGTTTCTGATACTTTGTTCGTAGCTTAAATGTAACTATTTGGAAATACTAAAACAAAAAAAATCTTTTCAGCTATTCTTGTTATGAGTGTGGAGGAACCTGGATGTTTTTTATTGCAGTAGAGTTATTCTTGAAAGTTTAAGTGAACACAGAACAGTAAGGCTTGTCCATTGTGTCAAGAGGAAGAGAGGAGGGAAGGTATTCAGTGGGATTTCTCATGTATTAGTACAAAAATTCTAAAAACTAATGTTAATATTGGCTGATGCCATGGATTTTAGGCTTTTGTTAGTCTCGATTTAGCAAAGAAGACTGGACTGTGTAAATGGAACTCTTGTTTGAATCCAGAACATCTAAGTTTGATTTCATGTTCGAGGATCTGAGCTGAAGGGTTTTATAGCGTGTGCTCACATTATCAGAACAATAACAGATATTTAAAATATTTTAGAAAATGAGCTATTCATCCTAAATATTTCAGCAGTCTTACTTTAGCGAACCAGTGGCTAATGTTAAATATGTTGACTGAGCATATTTGACTGTTGACTGATTCTTAGGTTGGAAATGACACCTTTATTTGAAGGGACTATTGTGGTTAATTTCTTCCCGTGAATGTCAGTTAAATGCAGACAAGAAATGCAACACTTCATACAACCCTTGTCATATGCTCAATTTACATTAGGTAATGCTCCATCAGCTGTAATACATGAATCCAGTGCTCGTTCCCTTCGTTATGCTATGTTTCTAATAGATGAATTACTATTATCTCACTTACAACCAACTTTATTTCCATCCCAAAAATGTTTGCGCTCTTACGTGCTTGGCAACTATTGAGTTTGTTCTTAACGTTTTCATTTGTATTCAGTTTATATGCACTGAACATCAATACACTAGATGCTGACAGCCACATTCAGTGTCTAGTGTATTCAACAGCAAGAGGTTACCCAGGCTGTATATACTTATCCAAAGAGAGTTGCTTTTTTACATATATAATTTATTTTAAAAGAATTGTATGATTGGAAGGGAAGGGCTGCTTGTTCCCATAGAACAAAATACTCCGACCCTACCACAAAGGATGTTAAAATACGTTTATTTGTGTAAGCTCCTGTTCCCCCTTTTTCTCCCCATGCTTGGAGAGACAGGGGAAAGAGGAAAAAATAGTGAATAAGATTGTTCATGTAACTTGAACAATTTTTTTTTCTTTTCCCCCTTACTCTTCCCCCTCCCCTCTTCACTTATTTATTCTTGGATCTGGACTTGTAATACTCCAGTCATCTAAAGAAGTGGGTTTTGCCCATGAAAGCTCATGATACCATCTCCATACTTTGTTAGTCTCAGGAATGATGAAGTCATCCAATAGAGTGTAAATAACCAATTGAAAGCATAAACCACGGGAAATGCATCCTTTCCTATGGTGTGTCAGATGCTTTCATAAGGCAGTCAGTCAAATTTTCCAGCATGGAAATTTCTACTACTAACGAATTTGTATTCCTTCCCTTGTTCATTCCCTTGCTTTTCTACCTTTGGGAAAACCTACAAGCACTCCTCTGATACCCTTTTACATCCATCGCTAGCATTGCTCTTGCTGTTCTATCGCCGACGGAAGTGATATATCTGGTACAGGAGCCTATTCTCCAGTTTTGCACAGAGTTTTAACTTCTACACCTGATCTAGGCTTAATTTCCTCTAACAACTGGAATGATGCTGTAATGCCTCTGTAGGCACAATCCTGAAGACCAGGAAAGTAAACTGGAGTTCTATAGCAGAATAGGAAAAAACAGCTAATTCTCCATATCATTGAAGTGACTCATGGCATGTTGAGTTCCTTCATTATAGATCCTCTGTGATCCTCACTAGGGATGTTAGCGAGTAGTCGACTGGTGTATCGACTACTTGCTTCCCCCTGTTGCTGCCTCTATGAGAGGCAGCAACGGGGGGGAGGGAAAAGGAGCTGGTGGTGGGGGAGCTGACTTAAAAGCTAGTTCCTCTAGCACCATCTCTGCAGTGCCCCATCAGAAAAACCCACACCCTCAGCCACTGGTCGCTGCCTGCAGGCAGCACCACCTCCTCCTTTGTCTAGATTCCCAAGCAAAAGGTGTCACCTGGTCACACGCAGGAGCGGCCCGAGGCCGGCTGCAGCAGCTGGCGCCCTAGGCGGGGCAGCACAATCGGCGCCCCTGCCTGCACAGCCGTCAATGGCCGTGATGTCATCACTGGGCGCCTGAGCCAGCGGCGCCCGGGGCAGCTGTCTAGCTCGCCTTAGCTCACGGGCTGCCCCTGGTCACACACCGCTCCCAGGCTGGGGTTACAGTGATCATTGCATAAGTGATGGGCTGTGTACTCTGTGAGTTATACCTGCAATTCCCATCCCCGTCTACATGGTAGAGCAATGCCCAGGGAAACTGAGGCACTCATGGGGGTTACTACAAGACAGTAGAAATCACATGCAACATAACAAAGTGCATACAATAGTATCAAGTAGTCACTAAGCTACCAAATAAGCATATGCTTATTGGGCAGTCGACTGCTCAGCTAGTCATTTACATCCCTAGAGCTACCCCAGGGCCTGGTTATTTAAAAGGGCCCAAGGCTCAGTGGCAGGAGCTAGAGTCCCAGACCTTTAAATCACCACTGGAGCCTCAGGTGGTGCAGGCTAGGCAGTGCTGAAGGGCTGGCTGGAGGAGACAATTCTGTCGGCAGCCATGCCCATGGGGATCTCTTCCTTATGTTGAGGAATCTTTAATGCATTTCCTGGAGATAGAGGGCAGATGGGGATATGCATAGAAAGAGTAGCTAAATTTTGTTGCGATGTATTTGCTCTTCTGTTTTCTGTCAAGTAGGATGTTTCCAAAAGGGCATTTATATCAGACTTAAGATGTTTGCTAGATGTAACACACTGACAAAATAGAACTTGGTGAAAAGCTCAGTAGCATAGCCCAGTGATCAGATCTCTTCAAATATAACCCAGTCCAGTGGTTTTCAACCTTTTTTTTCTTGTGATCCAGTTGAAGAAGACTGTTCATGTTCACAACCCAACATAATGATATCTTTTGACTGGAGTGTGGGCTCCGAGGCTCTAGATTGGGGGGAGTGTCAGGGCTGGGGTAGGAGGTTGGTGCTTGTGGTTGGGCACAGGCTTACTTCCAGCGGTTCCTGGTCAGCAGTGCAGTAGGGTTGCTCAGGCAGGCTTTCTGCCTCTCCTGGCACCACCAACCATGCTGTGCCACAAGCAGCCAGCAGCAGGTCATGCTCCTAGGTGGAGACACACAAACAGCTTTGCATACTGCTCTTGCCCACAGGCACAGATCTCCCCCAGCTCCCACTGCCTGGGAATTGGTCAATGGGAGTGTGGAGCCAGTGCTCAAGGTGGGAGCAGCACATGGAGCCTCATGAACTCTCCCAGCTTGGAGCCAGGATGCATTGTGATTTGCAGTGCCAGGACAGGCAGGAAGCCTGCTTGCACCTGTAGCACCCTCACTACAGCAGAGTGACCCAGTGCCTGATGTTGTGCAACCCAACACTTGGAAAATTACTGACCTAGTCTGACAGCAGTTTATGCATTGTGATCTTCATGAACACCAAATCCAGTTAATCTTTAAAAATAAATTATACATATTGACTGCTCCTGTTTTTCTATCTTCTGAAACTAGTTGTCTTGTATGTGCCTATTTCCTAGAACAGGTAGGTATTTTTAACTGGCTTTAATAAGCAGGACCTAGAGAAAAGTCTTCTGTAATGACTGAGTTGTTGACAAATTGCCTTGATGCATACATTTAAGTGACTCAGATGATGTGGAAAACAGATTAGGGTTTGAACTAGAAACTAATCTTCAAAATAGTTGAGTGTTTGCTGGCAATTTTAGTGGGAAGAGTCAATAGCAAACCCTCAAACACAGGTTCTACTTAGGGAGTAGTACTGGAAGTATTTTCAGACCTCCTTTCTATTTTTATACTCAAATGTGTATATTTAAAAGTCAGTTAACCACCTGAATGACCGGTATCCTAACATGGCCTATTACTATTCAGATAGGATATTCTCTCCAGTTTTCTTTAAAACTAATATGGGAATCTTTCTTTATATTTACTGGAATTGCATGGAAGCCCAAAACTGGGGCAGGTTTATAAAGACAACAGTTAAATACAGTCTGAGGACCAAATAATTTTTTTAAAGCTCCCAATTATATGTGGACTTAAACATTAGTCTTAACCCTACTATATATTGGAGAGTGTTTGTGTGAATGTCTCTGTGTTTGTTCAAGAACTAGTGCTTACCGTTTAGGAGGAGGACCGCCAAATTCAGTATGTGGCTTCCTCTTATCATGACTCAAAGCAACATGAAGGCTTGGTTGTGCCAGAATAACGGGGATGTGCCTGGAACTGGATTGCTTCTCATAAAATCATGCAGAAAAGAGCATCAGCAAGCAGGGGAAAGGATCTGGGTAGGGGTGTACCCACCTCATCTGGGATTGCCCCAGCCCTGAGCCTCCCATCTCCTGGGTGCTCTTTTGGAAGAGTGGGGAGGGAAGCCTGAAGCTCCCATCACCCCCTGATTTGTACAGGGGCATTGCTGGCTCTTTCTCTTGGTCGGGAAGTGAAGGGAAAGTGCATAGCTTGCTGCATTTCTTTGCTCACTTTGCTCTTGCTCTCTGACAGGAAAAGGAAGGGGTAGGGCAAGTAGCCCTGGTACAAATTTCAGCAAGGGAGGAGGGCTTTGGCCCCGTCCTTCCTTCCCACCCCCTACGCACACAGTTCCCTGGCCAAAGCCCTTCCTTAGCCCCCAACTCTGACTTGTGCATTCTCTAGCCCCTTGCCCTGAGTCCTTCCAATTATGATAGGTCTTAATACTACACTTGTAGAGCACCTTTTGAGGGGGAAATTGACACTTTAGAAGCTAGTTTAAATCAATTAATGTAAATCAATAACGTCAAGATTGGGCTGTGCAAAACATTTCACAGTTAAAGGAATACTCAGTTAAGCATTTAAAATTTGTCCTTAATACTTTAAATAATTGAACTTAACACTTAATATTCTTATTTTTCATTTTCTACAGTGAAATGACAAGTGCAATTGATTTGTGATTTAGCAGATCTGTTTTACATGTCAGTAATACAGTTCTTGAGTTGCAAATACTGAAAGGAATATTTATTCATTTGGGAAAACTTTGCATTTTCACTGGCACTTTCATTTCTATTGGGGGGAAGGGGTTTAAAGTCCTCTTTATATGCAATTGTGGTTAAAACTGAATTTGGCTTGATTTTTAGTTATCTTATTCTTCCTTGTAAATATATTTTTAATTTACAATATTTTCATGTTTCTCATAGGAGCTAAGTGATCTGCAACGTGATCCACCTGCCCATTGTTCTGCAGGGCCTGTTGGAGATGACTGTAAGCTCTTGATAATTTACTACAAAGATCCTAGCAATTTTTGTCTGAAGGAGGGATAAAAATTGTCTAAAATACTTAATGTGTTTTGTCTTTCAGTGTTCCACTGGCAAGCAACTATTATGGGACCTGTAAGTATGTAATTCATATAACTGAAATAATCCCCAATCCCTTAGGGTGTGTCTACACAGCAAAGTTATTTTGGAATAACGGCTGTTATTATGAAATAACTTTGTGAGCATTTACACAGCAATTCCATTATTTCGAAATTATTTTGAAATAACAGATGGCTTATTCTGGCTTCTGTAAACCTCATTCTACGAAGAATAATGCTTATTCCAAAATAGCTATTTTGAAATGAGTGTGTAGATGCTCCACTGTTGCTATTTCAAAATAGCTCCTCACCAGGGCCATTCTAAGTTATTCCTCCTGGTGCTCTAAATCGAGGTAGCACATCTACACTAGGGAAGCCTGCCTCGGACTAATTTTGAGGCTTCCCTGTAGTGTAGATGTGCTATTTCAAAATAAGCTATTTCAGAATAACTATTCCAGAATAGCTTATTCTGAAATAACTGCAGTGTAGACGTAGTGTTAGAAAGAAGGCCTGAGGTATTGACTTCTCTGACTATGGAAAGGATTCGTGTTCACACCAGCATTTGACCACCTACAAGCACTGTAGTCTTGGATTAAACTATCATATTTTCAAGTTAAATATTTTTGGGAAACTCTGCTATTCTAGTAGTTTAATACTTAGCCTCTTCTACATACTCCACCTACTTTGTTACACTTCACTTTCACTTTCAGTGAAACTTAAGAAATTCCTCCTTGTGCCCTTGAAACTATAAAATTTTTTTAAGATAAACAACTTCAGTCTACATTGAGCCTTCGAAAATGAAAAGCCTGTTCTTTCACCCCAGGGATGATCACTTGTACTGTAATGTTAGGTTTATCAGTCCAAATGGAAAATTTAGGGTAATTTAAAAATCACATGTAGTAGCTCTAAATACAATTGTCATGGCACAGGATGAGTGGGGGCCTTTAAAGGGTGAAAGTTCCTCCCACTTCTGTGTTGTGGCTCTACCAAAAACAGAGCAATTTTTGTACTCGTGATCTAGCAATCATGGAAACAATAGGCTACTAGATATAAAAGATCTGCTTTCCTCAGTTTGAAGAAGGTCAGAGAGCTGGTAGGATTTGCCATGAGACTCTCTCCCAAATAGGTGATTAGAGAAGGACAAAAGGACTGTTCTTGCTAAAAGAGAAGTGCTTCGGAATGGAAAGAAACCTGTAAATGAATCCTGAAGAGGTTCTTGAACAAAGGACTATTTGAGAAAAATGAACCTGTGAAGGAAGAGATGTTTACTCAGACCCTGAGAAGGGGATCATAGCCCAGATGTCTTTCCTTTCGAACTTTTTGTTACCGTCAAGCTGAGGCCCTAGCCAAATCTGATGACAGGAGGGTGATCAGCAGCATTACATGGTGAAAAGGGGAGTTATGACTGATTTGGGACAACTTGTTTTAACATATTTCAACACAACTCCAGCCTCTCAAGAAAAGGATTAGGCCTTAACCTACCAATGGAACATTAAATCCCGTTGTCTGTGTTCTTTGGAAGTTTCATCTGACTTGCCACTGATCCATGAGCTCTCTGGCTAGGACATAATTTATCAATAATGGATTCATATTCACAGCAGCTGAAGTTATCCTTCTGTTTCAATGACTTGCTTCCTTTCTTCTACCCCCTTTGCATTACTGAAAGACAAATGACAGATCCAAAAAGGACATAGCATTAAGACAATGCTGAATGTTTCAATTAACAATGCTGTGAGGCTTGCTCAGCACAAAAAAGGGGGAAGTGAAGGAAATATTTTAAAAGAAAGATACAGAATTTGTCCCAATAGTGAATGACTGTGATGACCTGAATAACGCACAAATCCTAATCTCACCTCATGCCCTGTGCAGTTCACCTTTCATATCCTGTAGCAGAAACATTATTTTCTTTCCAAACATCGAACTTGCACAAGAATAAAGATGTGCTTCTCTAGTGGTCAGTGGAAACAGATCCCTTCACAGTCCATATCTGGCATTAGGAAAGGCTGTGATATTGGTGTAGTGCACTTGATATTGGGGGGAGACAAAAAACAACATACTCTTTAAAATACTCCTGGTGAGCTGTAGAAAGCACAAGATTAAAATTAACTTTCAGAATTCATTTCCCATGTCTGCGGGTTAAGATGACTTGTATGCTATTTTGGGGCCAACCAAGGATAAATATTTCACACTGATTATGTTTCAAATGACTGGAGCTCTGGAGAGAGAAAATATCTCTAGATGCCAACTTTCAGACACTAGCAAACTTTTACATGTACAATTAAAATAAATAGTTCTTAATCCAACTATTAAAGCTTATATGTAGTGTTATAAATCAGGGTATTTAAGTTGTAAATTTGGAAGAATTAAAAAAAATGTTGACAATCATTATTGTAAGCACCTTTTTATTTTTTATCAATGTAACCTTTTGCTTTCCTGAAAAATTGGATGGGGTTGAACAATAATTATTTATTGACAATAGACCTTGAGATTTTAAAAAGGTAAAGCTTTCTAACCATTAAAACACACATTGTTGACATCACATGTCAAAATATCCAAAATGAACTTAGTTTGATTTAAGGTATTTAAGTGCCATTTTTCTTACCTTGCCTATCTGCATGTTTTGATTAATATTGATAGAAATAGTTATTCGGTGTATGTGTGGTGAAGTTAACTTTCACCAATAAAAATGTAATTCTTCCAATTTTAGTTATCAATACTAATGGACTAGAGAGAGAATTGTCCTCATTTGCAATCTTTATATGCAAACTATGCCAAATAAAGTACAAGCTTGTTTTTCCTCCTCTTCAGTATTAAATTTGTTTATCCTTAAAGCTTTTTAAGATCATTGACAGGTCCATTTAGTATGCATTCAAACTCTCATTTTATTCCTAGCATTGTGGCAAACACTTTTGGTTTAGTATAATACAGACTTCTTAGCATTACTGTTTTAAACTTGTCTCTGACTTACAACAGTTTCTTCATTTGGAAATATCTCTGCATGGAAGAGTCACATGGTTTTCCCTATGACACTTTTTCCTAAAAAAGTAGAAATTATATTTCCCCCCCTCTGCCTAAATAAAGAGCAACAGACCATCTTAGATCTACGCAGGGAACATGAGAAGCCAGTGTACTTGCACTACTTTGTGGCAGGCATCAGATTCCCAGCAATTATATTAAACATACCAACTAAATTGGAAACAATTATTTTTTTCTTTCCTTAGTCAGAAGTCACAGGGATGCTTCAGCTTTGAGGCCCTCAGCCGTCTAATCTTGGGTTTTTTCCTTTGTAATTATGAAAATCAAGGGTTTCCTCGACAGACCACTGCAACAGACAGATATTTCTCTTAACTGTGTGCAACCTGGACTTAAACCTGTGCACATGTTGTCTAACAAAATGCATGTTCACAGATTTATACAGGTCACAAAGATGTTGTGTGTTTAAAAACTTCCTGAGATCATCATGATCAGCTGAATAATGTTGGAAAATCCTACTCTTTGCACCTGCAAAGAGAGCACACTTCTTAAGGTAAGTATATTTGTGGCTTAAAGCTGGAGGAAGGCCTTGAATGTAGCAGAGCAATTGTGGTTCTGGTGCACACAGGGTATGCTGTGGAAGTTCTGCTAAAGAGGGCCTGCTTAGAGGTTCTGTGCTGTCATGGAGCTGAGTTCCAGGTGCACTTTGCTGCCTGAACATGCAGGTGAAGCTAGCTTGGAACTGGTGCATGACCAAGTAAGCAGATTCACCAGCATGGGTGTCCAGTATGTTAGGCGGGGGAAGGCTTTGCCTTCACAAACCGCCAGGCATAGCCCTGCCCACACTCCATCCCCAGAATGCCTGCTGGGACCATGCTGCACGCCTTCTGCCCTCCTCGAGGCTGGGCTGAGACGTGTAGTGTGCCCTTCTCCCTTCCCCGGTGCTCTGGGGCTGGAGATGCTGAGCCGATGCACTTCCTCCCCCAGGACTGGAGAGGTGAGGCTGGGCTGGGCTAGGCCAGGTCACATGGCATGGTGCATCGCCCTCTGGGGCTGGAGCCATACTGCACACCCTGCGTGCCCCTCCTCCCCGAGACTGGGGTGAGCGTGCACCCACCCGCACCCTTCTCCTCCCTGTGGTTGGGAGGGGGAGTGTGTGCGTGGCTCGCTGTCCCGCCTCCCCATGGGGGGGGGGTAGGGGCAGAGGTGGGGGGAGGGGGCTTGCCTCCCCCAGCCCTGCCTTCACCAACTGCCCATGTTAACAAGCCGAACATTCTTTCTTTTCATCTCTTTGCTCCCCGGAAGTGATGCCCAGCAGGGTATGGGTTTCTGCAGTAGTGATCAGAGATGGCTCTGCTTTTGCTCCACAGCCTTGGGGGAGGATTCCATCCCTCATTGTCAGCCACATGCCTTCCTAGCAGTTAGCCTGCATACTTGAGCTTTGTGCTGGAAAATAAATTTTAGTCCAAAGTTGCTGTAGTTTTGGGAAGGCTCTTCAAATTCAGAAGGGACCCTAGTAGTATAAATCATGTTTTTTTGTCTTTTACAGCCTGATAGTGCATATCAAGGGGGAGTGTTTTTTCTCACTGTTCATTTTCCAACAGATTATCCTTTCAAACCACCAAAGGTAAATACTTAATTTTCCTAAAAGTGTTATGAAAGTCCTAGGCTGTTTCTGTGTCTTCCCTGTTTAAAACTCAGTTTTTGGAGATAAAAGGAGAAAAGTCAGTAAAAAAGACCTATTCATATTGAATTAATATAGCTGTCCAAATGTTAAAATTGGTTTATAAGGTCAGATATTTGTACAATAGGCTATTCGTGGCAATAAAAGTCCACACTGTGCTGTTTCTGTGGGTGGCAGCTCTAGAAAGCAATGACTGGATATTAAAAGGGCAGTGTTTACTTTGCCAGTTGTAATAAACAGAACTTGAAACTAACATCTGTTTGTTAATCACAGATCGCTTTCACAACAAAAATATACCATCCAAACATAAACAGTAATGGGAGTATTTGCCTTGATATCCTGAGGTCACAGTGGTCACCAGCTTTGACTGTATCAAAAGGTAATGGCCTATATGTACTCTTGATTTTATTCATCTGTAATAGTAATGATGATGAGCATTTTAATGATGCTATTGCAGTGTTAGGTCAGCCTTACCATGCATTCCTACACTGATTGTAACTGAAAAACCGTCAGTGGTAGAGTAAGTATTTTTATTCTGCTCACTATTTAAATGGGAAATTGCACAAGATTGCTGACTGTTTTCAGATCATCCAACCATTTTTTTACACTTCAATTGTCATGCTAGTGAGTCATATGTATGATAAACAACTATTCATTTTGTGCCACAGTTAGATAAAGGCATTGTATTTAGTATTTTAACATTAAAGAAGTATCCTGGGCACTGGCTCTGAGTGGTCAGGCACTCTACATCTCTGACTGGCTCAGCTAAGGAGGATAAATTAACGCAGATCTGTGTGAATAGTTAATTTTGAGAAGTAGCCGAGCGCTATTTAGTTGAGGAACACCGGAATCTTAAAGCGTTATGAGGGCTCAGGCAGGAGCCCAGAATACAAAAGGTTTCTGAAAGGGCAGAGTTGGAGACTATTCCCAGTAATATCTCTTTGTGGAGCCATCCCCAGAACACACACAGTGCCAGAAGAGAGAGTACAAAGCTTCTTAGGGAGGAAGGCCTGGGGATATCCTGAGTCAGCAATGGAGAGAGGGCTGGGGCTTGTGACAGAAGCTTGTTTATATACCATATGTGGCAGTTGATTAAATAAACCCAGCCTCTTGAATGGGTACTGTTCACTGATCACTAGCTTTATTGAAAGCCCATTAGAGAAAGCTAAGGCAAGAACATAACTGAGCTTCCGGGGCAGGTATCTGGTACATTCCAGGAGGTTCTGTAGTGTGTGTGTGTATATACATGTATATAGAGGCAAAAGAGAATCTAATGTCTGGTTTATAAACCCACAAAAACAAGGGTATTCAAACATACATGGAAAATCCTGTAAACCCATTTCTTGGGGGATAAATCTAGCTTTTACTTAGGCTTTTTTTGGGGGGAGGAGAAGTTCTGACTAAATCATATTCATGAATGAAATTGCATAGTCTGTTGGTCCTCAAATCTTCAGTATATTAGAATGCGTAGATAATTGAGCAGTTTTAGAGGTAGCATTCAGATTTTCTCAAATTTTGAATCCTGTTGGCTCTTGGAACAGTAGGGTTGAAGTTAGTTTTGCCTATGTATCAGTTTTTCCTATTACTAGGATTGTGAGAGTTCTACTTAAGGTATATCTATCTTAAAAGCAGTTCTGGTGCCAACACTTGAATTTACTATTCATTAAAAATATCATTTTATGTAGTACAGGTTGAACTTCACTGGTCCAGCACCTTTGGGACCTGCCTGGTCCCGAACAAAGGGATTTGCCAGACCAGGAAAGGTCCCTTCCCTATGGCCTGTGCTGCCACCAGGCTGGGCTCCAGCCTGCCCCCACTGCTGCCCCAGCCCCCCCATGGCTCTCTAGATGCTGCTGGCCCTGCTACTGCTGGAACTGGAGTGCCACAGCCAGAGCTGTGCAACCAGGGCAAAGCTCCCTACCTGGGGCTGGAGCGGGGTCCGGGCCAGAGCTTCCTGGCTGCTGCTGGGGTCAGAGCTCCATGACTGCTGGGATAGGGAGTTCCGCTGGGCCAAAGCTCCCTGTTGTGCTGCCTATCTCCCACATGCCCACACATGGCTCCAAGCGGAGTCACTGGTTTGCCCCTATGATGCTCCTGCCCCACCACCACCAGACTTTCCTCTTCCTGGGCTCTGTGGCCCAGGAACATCCGTGGTCCATGCCATACCATGGATGTTGCTGGACCAGGGAGTCCCAGTTAAGGGAGGTACAACCTGTAATCTAAAATACAGTCCAACTCTTAATGATGGAACTGCTCTAAAAATGTATAGGATTAAACAATGTAATGTTTCCGCATGTACTTAGCCAGACGCTAAACAATGTTTCCTTTTAGAATAGCATCATGACATTTTAAGTTAGAACAAGATAAAATTGTTAGTGTTCATCTGACCTTAATTGCTCCATTCAGGTGCAGTTATTATAGCTTCTTGTATAACATAGTTGCTGCCCACACACATACATTCTGTGCAAGACAGACTCAGTAGCTACATGAAGTCTAAATTTATTTTGATTGTGGGGGTAGCTGCATAAGGAACATCTTGTGTGTTCTTGATCTGCAGGTTTCTGTATAAATTGGCCACTTGTCCTGTCACTAAGCTCCAGTTGTCCTGTTCCCTATTAATGTCAGTTGATATATTGGGGGAGAAAAGGGAGGCAGGAAAGGTGTCAGTCTTTTGCATCTTATCATTGCCTTAGATTTTAAGGCTACATTCCATGTTTTTCTTAATGCTCTTTTATCATTAGTGGTGAGTGGGTCTGCCACCTGATTCACACTTTAGGTGGAATGCTTTTAAAGCCCTAATTTAATTCATGTTCATTAGGAATGTTAGCATATAGCCATTTCAATGATTAACCAATAAGCCTGGGCTTATTGATTAATCCAGATGACTATACCAACCCCCTTCTCTTGCTGCCTCGGATAAAGAGACAGCTAGGAGAGGGGAGGATGGAGTCAGGTCCCCACACCTGCTGGTTCCTGCAGAGCTGCCTGTTGCCCCCTCCCCTGCTGCTTCCTACAGAGGCAGCATCAGGGGGAGCAGGCAGGAGCTCGTGCTTAGGGGAAGCCGGCTTAAAAGCTATCTTCCCCATGAGCACTGGATCCTGTGGAACCACCTGTCTTCACACCCCCACTCTGCTGCCTCTGATAGAGAGGTTGCAGCAGGGGAGAGGAGAGGCGGGATGCTGGAGTGGAGGGGTGGCAGGTGGAAGCCAGTCTTTGCAAGGAGCTGATTTTTTTTTTTCTCTTAACTGGCTCCCCTCGCAAACTGGCTCCACCTGCCACCCTGCACTGCTGCCTCTTATATAGAAGCAGCAGCACAGGGTAGCAGAGAACACCCCAGGGGTGGGGCCAGGATCGGGGAGCACATCGGCTGCTGGTTCTGCCACCAGAGAGTATTTTAGTAACTATAACCGCTAAAAATTGTTGTGGCTACATGATTACTAAAATACATAATATCTTAACATCCCTAATGTGCATATAGGGTACATATCTCAAACTGGCCCCTCACCTCAATGGTTATTGGAAGTTTATTTTTTCTACTTGCACATACATTGGTTCTTGCTGAGCAGGATTATAGGACTTCAATGTGGTGTCTGATACAGTGGTTTCTGATCAATGTGACCAATCAAATTGTCAAATATTAGTGGCTTAAAAAAAACAAAAATTGCCAGAAATTTCAGCACAAAATTAATGAAACTGCCACAGCCCAAAATAATATTATTACTAAATGGACGTGAAATTTTTGTAATGTAGTGGGGGTGGGGGAAGGCATAAAACAAAATGATTAAACAGCAAATTGTCCATTTACTCTGAGGACAGTAGGTGAGTTAAGAGTACCCAGACTCGTGGAGTTATGCAGATGATTAAGTATTATCTAATCCACCCTTTTGTCACTTTTTCCAACTATACTTCAAACACTGGAAATAATTACATTATCTGAAGATAATAGACAGAAATATGGCGCAAAGTCTGAAATGTATAAGCTTATTATCTTTTGTTTTTTCTGAGAAAAAAGTTCAACAGATTTTGCTAGATACAAGATTGTTTTCATAAAGCAAATTTAACTAAATCTTAGTCTGTGCTAGAAATGCCATCAGTTGACCTGTCCATAACATTTTTTTTGCTATGAATTATCTAAATATTGGCACAATATATGCATAAGTGTTTCTACATTTTTTACTATAAATATATGCCCCTCTCTCAAAATATGAGGGCCATAATTTTGGGGGGAATTAAATCTGCCTGAGAGTGCCAAGAAATTAATACTGACATCTTTGGTGGCAACATTTGTAATATTTAGCATTCAAATTCTACCACCTACTATATGCAAATTCGGTGAAAATATTCATACACAGTCTACTAAAGAAAATAAGTTGGCTACAAAATAGGAAAAATACACTAAAATCTGGTGTTGTGTGATAGTGTGACAACATAAAATAAATGCATTTGTAATTAGCACATTCTGATCCTGTGATCTAGCACTTAAACGATCTGTCAAATTCAAGTCTTTCAATGTAATTGTGTAGGTTTTATGACAATATGTAGTTTTCATTAACATGTACGTCAAAATTGTCAGTTTCACTTCTAAGGCATGAACACTGCAGTGAGCTCCTCATGAGGATGAGAGTCTGAATTGTGTTGCAGTTTTTGTTGATCAGGATCTTGGTGTATAAACTCCCTGGGTCAGGGACCATATCCTCATCTGTGTCTGCACAGCATTGAGCAGAATGAAGCCATGATCCTAACTGAGGTTTCTGGGCATACTTGCAGTATAAAGACTTAATATTATGTGCATTTTTGTTCCTCCACATTTATTGTATGTAGTAAGGTACTATAGAAAATAAGGCAAAAAAGTAAACCCTTCCTTGATCTGTTGTTTTTTAGTTTTATTGTCCATATGCTCCTTACTTTGTGATCCTAATCCTGATGATCCTTTAGTACCAGATATTGCACAAATCTACAAGTCAGACAAGGAAAAGTAAGTATAACTCTTTGTTACTTAAAGACTTACTTTTAATCCACAACATCTAAAACATTCCTTATCTTTTTTTTTTTCCAAACATGCTCGCAAAGTTTAGGTATACTAAAGATATACATCTTTAAGCCTTTTTTTAAGCAATATAAATAAGAACCCATGTAATACTTCTATAACTTCTACTAAACTACTTTGAGACTGTAGGGTTACACAAAATTAACATTGACATTTCCTAATATTTGCATGCACAAATCTATACATACAATTTTAATTCCCTTTTGTACATTTATATTAGTTTTAAGTGACTAAGGATAAATATCTGAATGTATTAATTGAGATAGTATGTGGTCCTGTTATTAAAGACTTACTGGATTTATGCTTCTAAAAGGTTAAAAGTAGCGTGGTTGTTTAATTGCAGTTAACTCACTCAGTTAATTCAAAAAGTAATTGATTAATTACACTGTTAAACAATAGAATACCAATTGAAATCTAATATTTGTGCATGTTTTCTACATTTTCAAATATATTGATTTCATTTACAACACAGAATGCAAAGTGTGGTGCTCACTTTATATTATTGTTTATTAAATATTTACACTGTCAGAATGACAAAACAGTATTTTTCAGTTCACCTCGTACTTTAGTGCAGTCTCTATCATGAAAGTGCAACTTCCAAATGTAGACTTTTTGTTGTTGCACAACTCAAGCAAAACAATGTAAACTTTAGAGCCTACAAGTCCACTCAATGTGTGTTCTTGTTCATTCAGTGGCTAAGAGAAACAAACAAAAAAAACCCCAAATAGTCTATAAGGTGCTACTAGACTAACAAAACATGTAGATGGTATCATGAGGTTTTGCCCCCAAAAGCTCTTCTGAAGTGGGTTTTGCCCGCAAACGCTCATGATACCATCTACATGTTTTGTTAGTCTTTAAGGTGCCACTAAAAAAAAAAACCAAAAAATAGTCTAAAGTTTTTCCAGTTAGACTAACTTGGTTACCCCTCTGAAGTGAGAGAAACAAGTTTGTGTACATTTATGGAAGAATCTTCCTGCTGCTTATTTATAATTAAAGCCCTGCATGGTTACAAAATTTGTATCAGCATTAGGGATGTGAAAGTGGAACCAGTTAATATACATGGTTACACATAGGCTCCCAGTACATGCGGGCACCAGCTTTAGGGGGCCACTTGCCCCCTGCATGTAACCACATAACCGCTAAAATGTTCAGTGGTTACATAATTACGTAATGGCATTTTAACATCCCTAATCTGTATCCACATTCACATCCATGGATGCAGATACCTGCAGATATGAAGTGGATATCCACGGATGCAAGGCTGTATTTACAATGTCACCTGACAGTGAGAAAAGGCATTCGCATGGCACTTTTGTAGCTGGCATTATAAGGTAAGTATGTGCCAGGTTTGCTTAACATTCATATGCCTCTTTATATTTCAACCACTATTCCACAGGATGTTTCCATGCTGATGACATTTGTTAAAACCAATGCATTAATGTAATTTGTGACTGAACTCTTTGGGGGGAGAATTGCATGCTGCTTTTTCAAGTGCTTGCTTCCAAGGGCATGAGTTCCAGAAGCTTTTTATCCTCAGCAGTATCTGGTGAGTCAGCCAGGGAGCCCCCCAGAGAGGTGCGGCTATACTGGCCCATATATACTCCTACTGGCCCTCCACCCCCTCAGTTCCTTCTTACCATCCATGACTGTTGCTGGAACGATTTGCTTGCTCCTTTGCAAGTGTGCCCTTATCCTTTCTTATCTTATCCCTTGTACATAGTTCTGTAAATAGTTGTAGTTAGGATAGTCATTAGTTACTTTACATTAGAATTGTTTTGCACCCCTTTTTCCGCCTGTGAAGGGGAATACTGGGGCCTCACAGCTTTAAGCCCTGTGCACAGTGCCAAAAGCCCATGCCCTGCAGAGACTCTCACAAAGAGTATCTTAAGTACCCAGGAAAGGGTCATTTGACCAACTCATGCAAGATCTTCAGGTCGTTCAAACCCAGAACTAAGCATGAGCGTGACTCTAGGCTGAAATTGTTGCTGATGAAGTCAGCACTTCAACCTGTGGCATCAGGACCCACACCGTTGGTGAGAAGCGCACCAGTATCAGTGTGCGAAGCAGGTGCCAAGCCGAGGCACACGGCATAGTCAGACCACTCGTCAGCACTGGTCCCAGTCCCTGGCACTGAGGACATCCATGACAGTGCGGAGAGGGAGATCTCCGTTGAGACAGGAGCACAGGGTGCAACCACAGGTGGGACAACGGAATGCACCATTTTTGCCTGAGCGTGATATTGCTCCCGTGCTGTGTAGGCTCAGGTTGAGCTCCACGTGGGCAAGCAGTCCGGAGGTCTAGGACCTGTTGGTGGGAGTGGTCCTGGACCCATGAACCCCAGGCATGTTTGCTGCAGCCCAGGAGCTGATCGTGCTCATGTCTTCACCAGACCCAGCAGTGTGTGAGGCAGACTCTGATGCACAACCACACCAAGAGCAGCTGTCATGTTGTAACCTCCAGCACTAAGAGGTTCACTGTTGGCTCTGGCCACTGGGGCCATGATGACCCGGGGCTCAGATCTGGCACTGGGCTCCATGACAGTACTACCTGATGCGGGTGTTGAGTGAGTGCGGCACAGAATGGAGGCCATCTGGCACCTTTGGCACTGTGCCCTCACCGGCACCGTGCCATACTAGCATATCTGCACCTAGGGTGCTGCACCAGGGGAAACCTGCGGCGATGGTGCACCATAGCCGGCACCACCATGGTTGGCGTTGGAGTACTTGTCGGAATCAGAGTCCATGGTGTCGAGGGCTTCCTTGCACCGGTCTGAATCCCAGTAGTCCCATTCTCTGCACCGGTCCCACTCATGGCAATGATCCCAATCGGATCACCGTTCTAGGCATGCTAGGCCCCTACCATCCCAAACATGGCTGCCTCAATGGCAACCAGTGACCTTTTTGGACCCCTTGGGCACATCACCAGGTCTGAGGCAGGGTGTACTAAGGTTGGCCTCAGCATCAGGGGACCCCGCCGGTTACACTTCTTACCTGGGCACCAGCTTCAGAGTCCTGGGTTAGCCCATCAGGATTGATGGGTACTCCAGTGCCCACCCAGCAGCCAGTCCCAGCCACAGTTGCCTCAACAGGTGAGGGCCCCCTGAGGAATTGGAATTGCCCAGGGACTCATCTTCTTCCCCTGATGGGGCACTAGCTGACCTGTCTCTGGTCATGATGGCTATAGACATGTACACCCATGAGAAGCTTTTTAGGAGGTTGGCCCTAACCCTGCGAGTGCAGGTGGAGGAGGTGGCAAAGGAGTCTGACACGATGGTGGATATGCTGATGGTGAATGCCTCACTTGGGCTAGGTCTACACTCGCGGCTTCTTGCGTGAGTAATATGCAAATGAGGCTAAGCATGGAATATCGCCAAGCCTCATTTGCATTCCTAATGAGCCACCATTTTTTTCAGAAGAGGTTCTTGCGCAAGAAGGAGCGTCTACACTGCCCCAATAGTTATACCTATTACTTTTCAGGAAGATCAGCATTGCTCAAGAGGGTTTTTCTTGCACAAGAAGGGGCAGTGTAGATGCTCCTGCTTGCGCAAGAGCCTCGTCTGGAAAAAAAAAATGGTGGCTCATTAGGTATGCAAATGAGGCTCAGCAATATTCCACACTTAGCCTCATTTGCATATTACTTACGCAAGAAGCCACGAGTGTAGACATAGCCCTAGGATGGCCCTGCCTCTCAATAAAACGGTGTCCAAAATTACAAAACGTCTGGCAGGCACCAGTGTCCATTCCACCGACACAGAAGTGGGTAGAGAGGTGGTACTTCATTCCACAGTTAGGGCATGAACACTTGTTTGCCCACCCACCCCTCAGCTCTGTTTTGGTGCAAGCCACATGCCAGAGGGAGAGGCAGGGCCAGCCTGGGCCCATCCCCAAGAGTAAGGAACCAAGAAAGCTGGACCTTCTGGGGAGGAAGGCCTATGCCCATCCAGGCTTGCAGCTGAGGATTGTGAACAAACATAGGGGATGCTCAGCAGATATGCCTATAACTCCTGAGTGGTTGAGAAGTTTAAGGACCAACTTCTCAGGGAATCCCAACAGGCGTTCAAGGCTCTAATGGAAGAAGGCGGAGTCGTGTCTTGCACTGCCTTCCAGGCCACATTGGACACTGTTGACTCAGCGGCGAGGTCAGTGAACATGGGCATAGTGATGTGCCGAAACTCATGGCTGCAGGTAGTGGGTATCCTGCCCGAAGTTCAATCAACCCTGCAGGATCTGCCCTTTGAAGGGTCAGGGCTCTTTTCAGAGCAAACTGACAGCAAACTACACAGCTTGAAGGATTCACAGGCATCCTTGAAATCCTTTGGGCATTCACACCCCGGCCCCACAACGTCGCTTTCTTAACCCTAGGCCATGGAGACCATTCGAGCAGGGCCCCAGGCCGGAGGGTAATAGGAGGTGGAAGAGGGGCAACAATGACCGCGCCAGCCGTAGACATTCTCAGTCAGCTTCCAATCAAGTTCAGGGGCCCTCCAATAAGACCCAGGGCCCAAGATCTGGGTTTTGAAATTTCACCTGAAGGCAGACTACCAGACCCACTCCTAGATTGCCCCTTCATGAACAGATTGTTCCCCTTCCACCGTTCTTGGCATTTCATTACCCCAGACTGCTGGGTCCTCAAGATAGTGGCGGTGGGATACTCTATATTCCATTCCTGTCTTCTCCACCCTTTCACCCCCCTTCCCTATCCCTGTTCAGGGACCCTTCTTACAAACACCTCCTATGTCAGGAAGTCTATTTGCTTCTGCTGCTGCCAATGTGAGAAGTGGTTTGGGGAAAGGGGTCCCAGTACTTGCTCATCTTCAAGTCCAAAGGGGGTCTCTGCCCCATCCTAGACCTCAGATGCCTCAATACCTTTATAAAGAAATCAAGATTCAGGATGGTGACCCTAACCTCCATCATTCCCTTCCTTGATCTAGGGGACTGGTATGCTGCCCCCCATATGAAGGATGTGTACTTCCACATTTCCATTATCCCTTCCTACAGAAGGTTCCTCCGTTTTACAGTGGGCACGGAGCACTACCAGTTCATGGTCCTCCTGGGGGCAGTGGACAGGCTGAACAGAATATTTACCAAATGCATGGCAGTAGTGGCTGCCTTCCTAAGGAGGAGGGGAATGCAAGTCTTCCTTACCTGGATGACTGGCTCATCAGGGGACGCTCCAGGAGCCAGGTGTTGACTCACATAGGCTTGGTCCAAGAAACCTTTTCCCACCTAGGGCTCATGCTAGATGAGGAAAAGTCAATCCTAGACACCATGCAGGTAATAGTTTGCAGGAGCAAGACTGGGCGCCATGACAGATAAGGCATCTCTGCTGAGCGCCAGGCTCACGGCAGTGAGGGACATCATTCTGAGGCTTCAGGCCACACCTCTGACCGCAGCAAGAAACTGCATGAGACTTCTGGGTCATATGGCGGCCTGCACGTACATAGTGCAACACTCCAGGCTGTGCCAGCATCCATTACAGACCTGGCTACTGAGAGCCTACAGGCCAGTCCATACTCAGATGAACATGGTGGTGACCATCCCACCGAAGGTCCTGTCTACTCTGGACTGGTGGCTGCAGGAAAGGGAGGTGTGCAGAGGAGTCCCCTTTGCCCAGCGGCAGCACTTGATGCTGTTGGTGATGGATGCCTCTGATATGGGATGTGAAACCCACCTGGCCGACCTACGGACGCAAGGTATGTGGTCCCAAGCAGAGCAGTCACTGCATATGAATGTCAGGGAGCCGAGGG